CCAAAACACAAGTCCAGTTGCTTCATCTTTTTACTTTTCATTTTCCACGTAGATAGTTTGATAATAATGGTCCAGCCTGGGTCGCGGAGAGTATCGATCCTRAAGTTCGATACTCGGTCGATACTTTTTTCCAGCTCGTAGTTTCGTTCAAAAAAAAAAAAGCTTCACTGGAGCATCTCGGTCAGAGGCAGGTTCAGATATAAACACTGAACTAAAGAAGCAGGTCAGATAATAATTTAATCGGCTCTGATTAAACAACAACTTCCAATTCGACGCGCAAAATGTAGCATCTCTGTAAACAAACAAGCCGGCTGATGAGACGTCACGTCTTTTACTGCGCATGCGTGTCACATCAGTGCTGTGGAGCGTTCACACAGGGGTCTGATACTGGTCACATTTAAAATGTAATGTGAACGTTCACAAAAAAAGATCGGATTTTTTCAAAAAATCGGAACTGCATTAAGACCTGCAGTGTGAACGTAGCCTCTGATTGACAGGCAGCTGAGGGTTTATTGGAGTTGCATGGTTCTTCAGACAGTCCAAACTTATCATATCATGCTTTTAAATCTTTCTCTTTCACGTCTAAATCATTCACTTATGGTSTATTTAAAATAAAACTGCAAAGCTTTGGTCTTAATTCCTCATTTTTTTGCTCCACAGACTTTGCTTTCCTTGCTTTTACCCCTGTTCTGTTTTGGTGCGGTCTCTTTAAATACAAGTGAGATATTTCACACCCTGCCCCCTCCAGGTCGCTGAGCGTTCGACTCCACCCCATTCAGCCATGTTTGTAGTTTCACAGCAACAACACAGTTATCTACCGACTAAAAACTGTTTTTAAGATAAAATTAGATAAGATAAAACTTTATTGATCCCACAGTCTGGAAAGTTGCACATTACTGCAGCTTAATACAAGAGAGGCTGAGAAGAATAATGAAAGATTAATAAAAGATAACAAACAAAACCCCACAATATACACGTGATATATATTATAAATACTGTATACTGCTTAAACAGTTGCAAAAACAATACAAAAAATGTTCATAGTTGGGGCAGGACAGCCTAGCCTGTACAGATTGTCGGGAAAAGTGAGGTCTGTTGCTTTCCAGGAAACTGCTGTTAAAGGTCTCCAATATGTGTGTATTTGAGATGCTCTCATGAAACTTGGCAAAGTTTTGGTCAGATGATGCAGAATGATGGTATATATACAGAGCTCCCCAATTCGGCGGGGCTGGTTCTCGTTCGTTTAAGTTTGGACTATCTGAGAACCATGCAACTCCAATAAACTCCCTCAGCTGTCTGTCAATCAGAGACTCCTGTGTTTATTTAAGAGTAATCCGCAACTACAACCTCACTCGTGTGGTGATAACGCTTTCCTTGGATCTCAGTGGGGAAACGCTGCACAGAATGGTAAACATTCAGAGTTGCTATTCTTCCTTTTCTCTGGGTTTTCTGAAGTTACTCCTCCTCCTGCAGGAAGTGTTGAACATGCTGAAGGAGAGCAAAGCAGATATATTCGTCGACCCTGTTCTTCACACAGCCTGCGCTCTGGACATCAAACATCACTGTGCTGCCATCCCACCTGGCAAAGGACGCCGTGAGTTCTCTCTCTCTCTCTCTCTCTCTCTCTCTCTCTCTCTCTCACTCTCACTCTCACTCTCACTCTCACTCTCACTCTCACTCTCACTCTCTCTCACACTCACCACAAAGACTCCTGGGTATATGTTCAGAGTTTCTTAGTTTTGTTGGCCTTTGTTTCAAGATTATACTTATTGTACCATAGTACTTTTATGCTCTGTACATAAATAGAAATATAGACACACATGACTGAAACTGGGATGATGGTGTTGATTGGTTCTTGGTTGTTGATTGTTGTTCTCAGAGCCGAGCCTTTCAAACATGGTCATTGTTGCTTCCTGGTTTCTGTGATGGTTCCAGTAACACTCAGCAATTACTGCAGACACATCTTCTAGCAGACTTTCAGAAGTACCGTATTTATTCAAGTATAATACGTAAAATTTAATCCATAAAATCATCCATAAAGTTGGGGGGGTAGTACTATACTCGGATAAATATTTTTACTTATGTATTTTAACTGAAATATCGGCTTCGTTCACAAAATGCCTGAGTCTGGAAATGAGATCACGTCGTAAAAAGCAGTTGAAATGAGCTTACCTGTGACACTCCTCTGTGCTTCAGAGCGAGATAATATCAGATCCAGGCAGGCGACATGATGTGGAAAAAAGGGGGAAAAGCAGTCCTGCACCTTATTAATGATAAACTAATGACATTAGCGTGGGGCCGAGCCGCTCCTGGAACACCAGCAAACACATGTTCATTTATAATGGCTGCCGTCTACCGGTGTTCTGAAAAAGTTTGTATCCCTGAAAAAAGTTATCCCACCAGAGGGGGCGCTCGTGAGTAGGAAGTAATCTGCTTTTCCCCCAGAAGATGGCCCAAATCTCATGTGAAGTCTCTGACTTTTGTGTTTTTACACTGTGTGTAAAATGCCAGAATTCATATGATGCTCAAAATCATAGTTTGCTGATATATATAGTCAAAATACCTTTTAGTACATATGATGTTAAAATAAAATGAAAAGTCCAATGATCATTTTACTGATATGTATAAAGACTGCAAAGGCTGAAAAATCTTGAAGTCTGTATGAAATTGGAGGTAGTTTGAGGATTAAATTTTTTATGCTTTTTAAGCTCAAAAAAAGGGGGGGGGGGGGTCGTATTATACATGAGATTAGGGCTGCACCGATTAGTTGAAATAATCGATGACATTG